GTTGGTTCTTTTGCTACTGGGGTCTCCCTACAGTTGCAGAGAATAATTCACATTTAGGTTGTTTTCACACTAGTCCTGAATACTTGAGTACACACCCAGGATCGATTTTGGACTCATTTGTGGGGAGGAACTCATTATTGCTGGTTTGCTTTTACACACAAGAATTCCATCCGAACAGTGGATTAATGGCATGATTCCATATGCCACTTTTCTGTGTGTAGGTTTGCAAAATGGTTGGCACAAGCTTCAACCTCCTGGGCCCTGAAGAAAGCTCTACGCCCTTACACCACTGTCGTAAATACAAATCGTGCTTTTAACTTCCCTCATGGACAGCTGTACATGTGCATTTGTTGACTAGCTGAAGGATACAGATCCAGCAAAGACAACATCAGAAGTGAAAGAACCAACAACAGAAAACAAGTAAGCCAGGTCATTAATTTATCAATTTATTATTTATATAAGTTATTAATTACTAGTCGAACAAGAGGTAGGCCAGCTTGGCATCTGTCTTACATCCTTTTAGGTCTTTCAGCTTTTGCCAATGCATAAATTCCAGTCTGAGATTTATTCTTGTCCTGTCTCTTGCACAGTCACTCTCTCTTCTCTTCCTCACATCCTCTGACAATGTCTTCTTCAGTCTCTTTGCAGCCACTGCCATGATGTCCATGCTGGGAATACTGAGATAGCTTCTTCTAACAGCTAGCTGAAGACCCATAGTTGTTGGTGTGTGACATGATGCTGTAAAGTATTATGCAGCTCTCGTGAGAGATCTTGTGCACATTTCACCAAAGTTACATAGCGCAATAGCAAGCTATCTGAGCCCGGCAATGACAAAGGCGGCATTCTCAGTATTAAGTCAATAGACCAAAATGATTTTGAAGCTGTTACTTTAAGGTAAATTTGTTACATAATGTGACTGTAACACTGAAACGTGTTCATGAAGGGCCTTATTTCTATCATTGTTTATATGATTGTTGGATCTTATTCAAAGGGTAAAATCCTTTTAATCTGTTCATGACAGTTTTTTCTCCCAAAATTTCTACAATCTAGATTGAAGCAGACACATAATCCAGATAGCATTTCTAACTAATTGTACAGCATCATTTAAATGTTATATCTTTTCTGTACTTTACTTTGCTCATATCTCAGAAATGGTAACTTTGTAGGATATATAAATGTTCCTAACTTTGAACATATGTAATTGTAAAGTAACTTTGGACCATTTCTGTTGGTCCATTTGTCAAGAAATGTTCATAGAAACAAATGGCGTTTTCAAATGTAGTAAAGAAAAATAAAAAGAAATGCAGCTTAGAACTTTCAATCAGAGGATATTAATGATGAAAGTGAGGGCACTCTCAGGACAAGCACTGCTTCATGGTGAAGAAATTTAACCTACAGATGGGATGCTGGAGGACATGACTGTGTTCTTAGTGCAAAAAAAAAGATGGCAAGGTCTCTATCTCTCCCCTTGGCTATGTGATGTGTTAGCTAATCAGACATCTGCAAAATAGCTGTGCAAATTAGGACAGTAGAAAATGTTCCCACATCCTACAAGTGTTTCAGCTGATGTTGCAGCTGATAATACCAAAAATACTCTCAAGGCTTCACATGCATTAGAAGAGTTTATAGCTACAATTTAAATTTGTCTTGTACATTACATATTTATAGTAATCATAATGTATAGTCAGGTCCATAAATATTTGAATGTCAGTAAAGTTGTTGTTATTTTAGCAGTTTTAGCAGTTAGTTGTAGTTGTCCTCAGCAAATTGAAGTTGTTATGATAAATATGATAAATATGAGCTCAAAGTACAGAACTTCGGCCTTAACTGGAGGGTATTTACATCCAAATCATGCGAACAATGTAGGACTTACAACCATTTTCATACATAGCCTTGTTGATGCTCTGATGTTGCTCTGTCAGGCCTTTACTGCAGCTGTCTTCACTTCCTGCTTGATCTTGGGGCGTTTTAGTTTAAGTTTCACCTTCAGTAAGTAAAGTACATACTGGATTAGATTCAGGTCAAGTGACTGATCTGGTCATTGAAGAACATTTAACTTATTTGCCTTAAAAAAGTCTTTTCCCTTGTCCAGTTGCACTGAGTGAGTTCTGAAGCATTTGGCTGAATCTCAGAAGGTAATATAGCCCTATACACTTCAGAATTCATCCTCATGCTTTTATCTTCAGTCACATCATTAATAGACACATGGGTCACAGTTACATGGACACTACCTCCACCATGCTTCACAGATGAGGTGCCTTGGATCATATGTCCATAAGATTATGTTTCAGGACTGTACAGATTTTTTTACAAACTCTAATCTAGTCTTCCTGATGAGGCTTACCAATGGTTTACATATTGTGTAACCCTCTGTATTTGCTCTGGTGTTGACTTTGTCACAGACACACCTTCCTCCTGGAGGGTGTTCTTGATCTGGTCAACTGTTGTGAAGGGGTTTTTGTTCACCAAGGAAAGAATTCTTCTGTCATCCACCACAGTTGTTTTCCATGGTCTTCTGGGCCTTTGTTTCTAAACTCTCCAGTGAATTTTTTTTCTTTTAAACAATGCATGAAATAGTTTGGCCACACCTAATGGTTTGTTATCTCTCTGATGGGTTTGTTTTGATTTTTCAACCTAATGATTGCTTGCTTCACTGGCTCTTTGGACTTCCCTCAAAAATGGGAGAGCTATGTATGAAAATGGTTGTAATCCCTACACCGTTCACCCAAGTACCCAAATTTAAGATGAACCTCTGCACTTTCAGCTCATATTCATTACTTAATTTCAACTCTGATATGCTGTGGTAGACAGCTAAAACAACAACAACTTTGTCGCCGTATAATTTATAGACCTGACTGCACAGCAGCAGAAAGAATGCAACCTATTGTATAGAGTCTACTTTCCAGCCATTTCAAGAATTTTTAGACTACATCTGCTCTTGGCAGTTCTTTATGCCTTAGCTCCGTGGTTTTTTATCTACTTCCATCAAAGCTTTCTCTCTGCATGATTTACTGTTTACAAAGTGACCATTCAACCCCTTGAACTGAAAAAGGCCTGAATGTGCATCCAAAATTATGTGAGATTAACTCAATAAGTCAGCACTTCACTTGATTCAACATAGGACAAAACTTCAAGACCCTATCAACACCACACTTTAGGATCTGTTCAACAAGTGAATGACCAATGGAATATCCTTCATCCACAGACAGGATTTTCAACCCACTGACCAATGTGTTGGGAAAGACACAGTGCAAATGTTCAAACTTTTTATTGAGGATATTTGTTCCCTGTGATTGAATCCTTATTGTACACATGAACTTCCATAGTTTCCTCTCAGTATTCTCTTCTGCAGGTACACCTAGCCCAATCGAATGAATGATAAAACATCAGAAAGAAACCAGACTGACACGTTGACATTTCAAGGGGGCACAACCAAAATGAAAAATGCAACCATCACTTCATCTGTTGTAAACATGCCCACTTGCCTCATACAGCAGTGCCACAATAGTCTCTAGAGCAAAATTTTCTGGTTTAAACACTGAAAAAACTCTGATGATGTATCTTGAAGGTGAAAGGAGTTTTTGAAACTACTATGAAGCAGACAATTGAGGGTGGGCTGTTTGAATTTTTTTTCTTGTCCTGTTCCAGCATAATGCAGAGGAAAGCCACATAGATAATGTTACTGATAGGAAACTGAATATTTATTACCTTTACATCAGTAGCTATCATAGCAGTCAGGATTTATCAAAGTGGGGTGAGGGGGCTATGGATGAAAACACTAAAAGACTACAAACTTGTTAACTCTGTCAATCACTTATCATTTTAAGAATTGCTGCTATTTTATTCAATAATAATAATAATAATAATTATAATATAATAATAATTATTATTATAATTATAATAATAATAATAACATGTTCTTTCCCAATAAGTTATCTGCCTTGATATTTGATCACTGCTTTTCAAATACAAGGCATTCTGGACATTAATTTTATTAGAACTTTATTCCTAAACATTATACACCTTTCTCATCCATTATAGAATCAGCTACAGCTCTGTTCATTTGTTGGACGCTGCCTAAATGTCTTACAATAATTTTGTTCATGTGTACATTGGAGGTACATACAGGGTTCTGTGGGGCAAAATGTCCCCAAAGAAAACGCATTCTTTCTGATTTTCCACTATTTCATCATCAACACTACATATAAAAACTCAAAAGACACGTGTGGGTTCACTGGTGGTTTTGGATCGTAGATAAAATGGCTATGCTTGTATTATAGACATGGCGACCCCTGGCTCCTATCGCCACCACTGTAAAGAAATCTGAGACTGTAACTTTCTCTACAAGAGCCATTTCACAACAAACCACTCTGAATGACTTTGTTTACATCGCAACAACGGAATTATGCGAAACAAATAGAAAAATCGGTGGAACCCCCCTTTATGCAAGCTTTATGCAAACGACGGCAGCTCTTCAACATGGGACTAAACGATAATAGGGCCTTACACCAACCCACCATTAATAGACTCAGCAAAGCCTGGATTGACATCAGCCGAGCACCATCGCAGCGGCGTCTCTGTCCGAGGTCCTGAAATGTAGCGACCGAAAGAGAGAGAGAGAGAGAGAGAGCGAGAGAGAGACAGAGAGAGACAGAGAGAGAGGGAGTCACGTGACGCCGCTCTGCCAGCCTCCCCACAGCCCATATGCTGGAGCAATTTCACGTGAGAGCGCCGCGAACGCCGCACTCGCGCACTGTAGCCCCGCGAGCACCTCGTTCTCGCGCTGCTGCTGAGGGAGGCTTTCTTTCTTTCCTCGTATCTTTTTTTCTCTTTCTGCTTTTTGACGGTCTCTGGAGACGTTTAGGATGGTAGAGTCTCGCATCGCTCGTCTGTCGCTGCGCTTCGCCCTGATTGCTCCTGGTGCGCGGGCACGCCGCGCCGCGCTTCGCTCCTAAAGCACCAACGCCAGCAGCGCTCGCCTGTTTTTGGGTGGAGGGGGGCACATCTCTCTCCAAGAAGATGTAAGGGAGCAGCCAGCCTTCTTTTACTTTTCCTCGCCCCCCATTCCCTCTCTTCCAGCGACTCGGCCAGCAAACATGCAGAAGGGAATTCGCCTCAATGACGGCCATGTCACCTACCTGGGTCTCCTGGCGAAAAAGGATGGCACGAGGCGAGGCTGCTTGAGCAAAAAGAGCTCGGACAACACAAAATGGCACACCAAGTGGTTCGCCCTGCTGCAGAACATGCTCTTCTACTTTGAGAGCGAGTCGAGCTCTCGGCCCTCGGGGCTCTACCTGTTGGAGGGCTGCGTGTGTGACAGGTCGCCGTCGCCCAAACCGTCGCTCTCCGCCAAGGAGTGCTTGGAGAAGCAGGTAAGCGCGGTGCCAACTTTCTGGCTCAGTGTGCGGGCTGCAGCTGTCGACTTCAGGCGAACTGGGTCATACGCTGCCCTAAAAGTGCTTTTGAAAAATGCTAAGTTGGATTTTGGGCTAACGGTGCGCCGGGGCTCCGTGGCGTTCAAGTGCATGTGAAAGAGGAGCGCGCGTTCGCTGCGGAGACAACAGTTTTCTGAGTGTCTGAGTGAACATGTGCCATTTCAGAACAGAAACGCTGGTCGCTGTCACTGCCTTGTAGAGATCGCTTTCCTGAGCATACAAATCATCATCATACAGTTAGAGCACTTAACTCAGCACAGGACAGGCTGCGTTACATAATCTGTACACTGGCTGACGAATTCATTATCCACACCTAAGTGAATTCAGAAGCTCTGCTGCTGCTGTTTGTTGCATCATTTTTGTAGGAGAGAAATCACGGTCTGGAAGCTCACTGGTAACATTTTGCAAGTAGTTCGACTTTTAATTTTTAAACCTAGTCTGCGTCATTTTATTTCTGTTGAAAAATCATTTAAAGTCATTTAAATATTTTTCTTCACGTTTCTCGAATGGTTTCGCCCAAAACCTTGAAGTGTCAAGTAGATGTTTTTTTTCCCCTCAGGAGAGAAAATTACGCTAGAGAAGGCACTTTATGAACCTCTGTGTCGCCCTCTTGCGGCGAACCGCTGTAAAATCCCAGCCTGCTTGCTTTATTGATTTCATTCCCGCGTTGATATTAATAGCATCCTACCTTGGCAACTGCATCTTCCAACCGTGTTTGTTAGCATGCTAGCTTTTACAGGCAAACTCTGAGCCGACACGGTGCGTCTGGATCACAGATAAAGGATTTTGTTCACATTTTGACGTTTTTATTCCTTGTAAGGGAATGTAGCCCAATATGCTACAGTTGACGACTTAAACTGATTACCTCAGCGTGGGTCCTACTCACGTTAAAGTCATTTAACTCCTCCTTTTAAACTTGTGCTGTGTGCTCTGAGTTCTTCTAAAAGTCTTCATGGTGATCATGGTGACTACACACAGGACGTGACAAGACTGGCTCTGTTTTCCTTTATTAGCTGCTAGCCATCGTGTTTTTTTCTAATGCTGCCCTGATTTTTAACCAGAGCAAGAAGTGACGACTTTTGTTGTCTTAGTTTTCAGTCTTTTCCTCATAAAACCAAACTAGACATAAGTCCTTATTAGGGACACACAGCAGTTTCAGAATCATATTAGTATCGGCAGATAATTGCTTTAAAAAAGTTATCAGATTGGTTATGATTAGATTTGACCAATACTAGATGACATGTTTATGATACTCAGGAAGAAAATAATGTTGAGGTGAATGAAGGAACTGAACCAATATTAAAGCACATTTTACAAAGAAAGGTTTAGGTGATACTGGGCTACTGTGCCAAAATATCTGAATTTTATAATGTTAACATTACAAATAAATTTCTCTAAGGACTCTTATTGTGAAGGCAGGGCTAGTTTTCCCCAAGGGGAATATGTGTGTAGAGCAGAAAAAACTGAAGCAGCCTTCCAAAGCCTAGGCTGCATATCTCGGCCACTATGTTATGGCAGGTCGTTCCAAGTTCTGAGTGATTTTAAGGACGCATCAGATGGATCCTTCCAGGCCTTCAGAAGGAAAAAAAACTGGAAAAAAAGGAAAACAAAGCCGTTGGAGCAGAGCTTGCTTTAAAAGTTATTCAAATCTTGTTGAATTCGTCTATATGACCTTATAAAGTGTAAAATGACTGATTAATTAAACCATTCGTTCATATATCATATTCATATATCATATTTTCTTTAGAAGTATTTGTGTATATGTAGTTTATCATACTACATAAGATCTCCTCGATTTCAGTGAAGAAATGAAAAAGCAACAAACACACAAGTTTCAGGCTGCTCTGGTGACATCACCACGCAGCCTCGTTCCATTTGTGTGACCAATAGGCTGCTAAGTAGCAGACTTCGTAGGACAGTCCTACCGAGGACCCGCAGTACCTCGGCTGCAGCCTAGGTTTTGGAACGCAGCTTGAGAGTCAGTCAAGAGCTGATGGCTGAGAGGAAAGTTAGGCTTAGAGCAAACTGTTGGAGAAAACTCTGCTTATGTACAGCGTAGCCAAAAGTGTGGCCAACAACAGCTGGTTAATAAAGCATCACAACTTGTGCAAAAGCTGTGTCTCAGTGAATAGTGATGAATGCTCCAGTAGATCCCCATCAATAATTTCTAGCCGACGCACAGGCTAGACCACTAACAACAGCTAAAACCAGATCATATAAGCTAAAAATGTTCAGGAAACCTTTAACAACATTTTTATCCAATGTCTGAGCTACCATTTTAAAAGCATTTCTCAGTCCCAGTGAGTGCGAGTTTCTTTGGTTATCTTTGGCTTGTCAGTTTCTCATGTTTACTAAAGGAGCTGCTTTGTACCTTATGTTGAGATGTTACCTTGCTCTGTAGTCAGTGCGCAGTGGCCGGGTAAGTTTATGAGGACTGCAATTCAACGTGAGTCCAGGCCCTTCCTGTGAACAGCTGTCCCTGTGCTGACAAAGCAGCATGCAGCACACGCTTTAATGCTTTCATCCTCTGAAAGAGTAGGAGCAGATTCTCTCTCCTCTCCATCAGTAAGAGTCACAGGAGGCACCTTACACTCATCTGAACCCTTACTGTAATGATCAATCATTGACAATGTGTTGACTTTATTGCTAATTTAACACATGAACACAGGGTGTTTAATAATTAAATACTATCAGTATGAACAGGGTTGAAGGAGGAATCAATTAATCAATCACATCAGCTACTGTCATTTAGGCTGCATAAATTAAAATGTCTTTAACAATAGAGATAAACAGATAAAAAATCAACAGACAGCCAAAATAGCCATGAAAAAACTCTGAGTGAAAGGTTTTTTTTGTATTTATTTATTTTTTTTCCTGATGGCCACTTGTGGTTTGATGTATCAAAAACAGTCCCAGTTCATTTTTATATGACCATTTTCCAACCTCTAAACAGACTGTTTGTGTTACTGTACATTTAGGGCTGATATATGTAAATGAACTCTGTTCTGATTGGCTGCCCTGTATTGAGCCTCATTCAGAAAGCAAGCCGGACTGAAACACTCCTTATAACTTCTTTAATGGGCAGAGCTAAACTGCTGTAGGCTGAGTAGGTGCACATGTGTTAATACATTGATTTTCATGTCAACAACAATGAATTCAAAACAAACTGTTTTCCATATATGGACTGTGTGAACTGGGGAGTGAATAGTACGTTTTGAAAGTTCAACAATGTTTACATACACATCAAACTCTTTTATTTTATAAAATTGAGGAAAATTTGGTTTTCCTTGACATGAGCCATTAATTCAAATTCAAAACAAAGATGAGACATGTACTTCATAATGTATGTGGCGTTTTATTACATTTTTGTATGATTGTTTAAAAATAAGCATTAACAGCACAATAAATATCGTTCCTATGTATAAACAAAGCAAAGGCATGTATTTATGCTTAATAACAGCTTTGTTTTTAAAGTCAACCTGAAATCAAAATGGACCATTTTTTCCTTGTTAGTTTTTGGTCATATTAAGCACAACTTATATCATTTAAAACACTGAAATTCTTGCTTTCCCATTATCTTTGATCAAAGCTTAGTGACTTTTCCCACCCCTAAAACATCTTTTGAGTTTTGATTACATCATCATGTACCAGCAGGCAAGGAAAAATAATATTAACCAGTAATATCATGTTTCACCTCCCACTCTCACCACTTCCACATAACATCAAGCTAAACGCTAAGCTAGCTCACCCTGACACTGTGTACATCTCAGAAAATGGTACAGTACCAAAGGAAAGTGTGTTATGTTTTCTAATTCACATTGACTTTAGATTAGGCCACATTAGGACAGCTTAGTATAAGCTGATTGGTTTTACCCTAAAGTTAATAACAGTTACTAAACTAGTGCTTGGATCAACCGTATCTCATTTTGTCAGCCATGCCTCCACTTGTGTTCCCACCTCCATCTCCTTAGCACATACGATGACATATAAAACTGGACATAGAGATCTTCAACTCAACAACTTTGACAACAAAGTTGTGTTACTGTAGAAAGAGTGTGGAACTCAACATCTTGAGACCTTTCATGGGCATTTGCTGTCTGTCGTGTTATTTACTTTGGGTCAGCGAAAAAAATTTCACTTAATGGGAGACATTGTCCATTTGTGCTGATTTTGTGCCAGCTCTGACCTTCTTTCACTTGTTGTTGTATTTACAGACCGCTCAGGCTGTTCTACCCTCCATTTATTGTCCCTCTTTTTAATATATCTGCATTTGAGCCCATGGTTCCTATGGCAACTCCTATTTGCATTAGAAAAAGAAGGCCAGAGTGCGTAGCAGCGGCAGAGGCGGCAGCCATGTAGCACTGCGACGCGCCTTCCTCATTAATACTAACGCTATTTGTGCTAAATTTGCTTCAGCGCGGTACCTCCAAGGGGTCATGCCCCATTTATAAGAAAGCACTCGTCTCTCTCGCTGTCTCTTAGGGCAAGAGCTGCATTTTCTTTGCATGGTTTAAGGGAACGCAAGAGATGCGTGTCAAGATGAACGTGTGCTGCCGTTATTTCTGTCTCCTTTCCAACACAACAGCCTGGACCCTTCAAGAGGAAATAAGAAGTAGCAGAAGAGGCAGAAGAAGGAAATGAATCTGCACTGGCAGCGCACAGAATTATGGGCTGATTTGCAGCCTTGTGGTGAAAAAAAAAATCATGATGTTAATTTGCAGGAAGCACAGATGAGAGGCATATTAGCGGTGGCTCATGGACTGTTGCTCCTGGGGATTGGGTGGTACACGGGTTTTGTTTTAAAGGCTGTGTCCTTTCCAAGAAAATGGCTCTGGTCACTCAGACGTAACAGACGGCTAAAAGCACATTATGTAAGGAATATAAATATTCTGCAAAGGGCCAGAATTAGTTGTCCGTTGCCTTTTACATACTTGAAT